TGCTCTCTATACAGATGTGTATTAATACTCATATATCTTGCCGTACCGTTGAGTCCAACGTTTTCTTTATATGGGATGTGAACACCGTTTCGGTCTTTGTATTCCTTAGACAAACCAAAGTCCACGACATGCAAGAGGTTTGCGCCCGGAGTTTGTGGTAAACCTAATAATATGTTTTCCGGCTTAACGTCTCTATAGATGACACGTTTGCTGTGAATGTATTTAAAGATATCCATCAACTGAATGGCCAAAAGTGAGACCGTTTTTACGCCAAACTTTTGATTGCATTCTTGAAACTTTGTGGCGATATTAGGGCCGAACTGTTCCATCACAAGAGCCCGGTATGTGAGAAATGAGCCGAAAAAGTATGTCTTGGGAATCGCCGAGTGATTGCACTCATACCTCAACAGCTGATAAATGCGGAACTCGTGGCTTAACTGAGGATTATCTGTCTCTTCGGCCTCTAGTTTGGCGACCAATTCCTTATTTGTGTTCATTTCTTTCACTTTGAATATCGCACAGAAAGAGCCCGAAGCCATGTATTTAATCACTTTGTATTTATTGTTGGCTATAAACTGTCCGATCAGTTCCTTGTACTCCTCCGCCGATTCTGTCATTCTTAAGGTTAGCAATCATTCAATTGATTCACAAAACAAACACTTGGATATTATTTGCCAAAAGTATAAAATCGTTATGCAATACAATAGTAGTTAACAATTAATTTTCAAATTCAAATTATAGGAAAACAATAGAAAAACTCGCGAATTATTTATAACTAAACTTTTATTTTTCTAAATTATATGGTTTTGAATACAAGCGAAAAATGAATGAAATTTATAAAAGAAAACTAGATTGAAAAAACAAATAAGATTTTGGTTTTATTAAATTGCAAACTATTCAGTGGTCAGCCATTTGTGGTTTTGGGCTTCTCTACTCGCGAGTCTGGTCTTAGGGTTTGGGTTCAATAGGAAGTAAATGATTTCATTAAGNTTGGGTTCAATAGGAAGTAAATGATTTCATTAAGATTGGCAGAGATTCTGTTGATTTTGCATATTCTGGGATATTCTCGGTTTCTTTGCTTACGAATGCATTCGCTTTCGTTTGAACAGTCAAACGGAAAGTTAAAGTAAACCATTAAATACAGAGAGACTCCCAATGAGTACATGTCGGACGCTTTGGCGTCGTATACCTCTCCCTCTCTCAATGTCTTGATTTCGATGGCTTTGTATTCACTTGTGCCACAAGCGGTCCCTTTCATCAGCCGTTCGGTGCCATCAATCGTAACGCACGAGAAACCAAAATCAGTGATCAAAACCCGTTGACTCTCGGAGATCAAGAAGTTGTCGGGTTTGATGTCCCGATGGGCCACACCTTTGGTGTGCATATAGTAAAGGCCAGCGATTATGTCGCGGAAGTACTTCTTGGCCTTTGGTTCGGCGATCGGTCTCTTCGTGTTCTCCAATTCGTCGGAAATGCTCCCATTTTTGGCCAAATCCATGAAGATATAGGCCATGGATGTAGTCTTCGTCACGTCGTGTACTTGTATTATATTCGGGTGTTTCAAGATTTTCATGATTTTCATCTCGTTCTTCATGTTCTTGTCGGCCCAAATCTTGTCCACTTTACTCAAGTCCATCACTTTGGCCGCAAA